CACAAGATAAGATTCACTTAACACTAATTCACAGTCAAATTAAAGTCTTTCAGAGTATGAGAAATAGTTACTCATTATCATTCACATTATATACATTTTCAACGTATAAGTAGATTCAACCATGAATAAGTGTTGCACTAACAGAAAACTAAACTAAACATGATCAAAATGGGTTCATATTATAGACATGTTCAACTACTGTACTTCACCCCCATTCAAAATCAAGCTCACAGGAACTAAAAATTCAACCTATACAATTCACCCACGCGAAAAATCAGAACTTTAAGAAGTTAAGACACAAAAACCACACACCCAAATCGAAACCCAAACCAAACCCATAAGTGAACATAATGATCAGATACAATATGCAATTCTGAGCTCCATACAGAACAAAAATAGGACAGGAGAATTTTGAATACTTACACCATTTTGAAGAAATTGTAGCGGAGAGGAAACTTGAGAAAGAGGGCAGGTGCAGAGGTCGAGGCGGGCAACGACTACTCGCTAGTGGCTGCGAAGTGGGAACGGGTGGTGAGGCGTGGAACGGCTAGTTGGGACGGAGGAGAGGAGGAGGGGCAGATAAGATTGATCGAAGGGATCAATGGGATGGCATGACCGGGGGGCGGGTCGAGCTCGGCCATAAACTGGTCCCCTCGAGGTGAAGGGCTTTGGCGGTGAGCGCGGGAGAGACGGCGATCGAGGTCCGGCAGCGGGTGAGTTCGGCCGGAGGACTTGAGGAGGACGATGGCCGCCGGGCTGAGCACCAGATGCCGAACTCGAGGAGAGGTCCCGAGGGCGAGGCTCCGGCGGCGAGGCTGAGCACTGGCGGCATAGCACCGGTTGGCGACTTCGGGTGGAGGAGGGGGAGCTGGCCAGGATCTGATTGTAGATGAGAAAATGGGTAGGGATTTTTGAGGGAGGGGTTTTGAATATATATATATATATATATATATAAGAGAGAGAGTATATATATATATATATATATATATATATATATAAGAGTATACTTATATAAGAGAGAGTATACATTGTATACTTATATATACTTATACATATATTAAGAGAGCATACTTATACATATATATACTTGTGCTATCACATATGTATTTTTCTCCTCCTTCTTCAACCCATTCGGCTTCAGATGATGATACTTCTTTCAACACCGATCAACAACATGTTCTGTCTGCTTGCAGTGATTAAAGTCAATCATGTCTTCCCCGGATCGCCCTTCTTCTTCTCCTCCTTAGATTGGGAGCCACTAGACTTGCCTTCCGCTTATTTGGCATCTCTCTTTATCTCGTTGCCCTTCTTCTGCTTGTCCTCAATGACAATAGCCTTCACGCTCGCCTTTATAATTGATTCAACCGTGAGCAGCTTCATCTCCTTCCGTATATATTCGTTCAGATTCGCTATATACTTCATGAAAATAGAGTACTCCGTCGTAATGTTGAGGACCATCGTCTGCTGCTGGAACTCTGTAGTGTATTCTTGAACGGTCTGATTGAATCTTTGGTGCAAGTCGTACCACTTGTTCCAACGTTCTTCAAGGAATCCCACCGAGTAGAACCGCTTTCTCAGTAGCTCCTTGAACCTGTTCCACGACACCGATTTCTTTTCCTGCTTGCAGTAGGATTTTCACCACATCAACGCGTGCCCGGAAATTTTCAATGTTGCAAAAACAATCTTCTCTTTAGACGAATAGTCATAAAGAGTAAAATGTCTCCATACACTCAATCCAATCGTCAAGCCTCTCGACGTCAATACTCCCATCATAAACATAGATCTCTACTTTGAAATCAATATTTAGATTCTGGTAAGAACCCTTACCCCCTTGATATGGAACAGTCTCGACGGTTTCGACCTCCTCGTTGGAATCTGAACTCTCACTATCTCCATCGGATTCTACAGGTTTCTTCTTGGACCCTGAAGAAGATTCACCCTTCTTGTCGCTTCCGTGAATGAGATCGACGAGCTTCATGAGAGTCGAACTGATAGTCTCGATCTGTTTCTCCATTGCATCAAGCCTCGATGAATTGTCGCTTTCTGTCATCTTCTTCTTCCTTGATTTCTGGACTTCTTTCAAAGACACAAGAATCTCACCTAGCTTCTTATATTACGATCGAGTAAGGACCATACATAGGATATCCCTTCACAGGATCTGATCGTTCTGATACCAACTTGATACAAGTCGTCATGCGAGCACATTTGATCGCGAAATTATCAAAGGTGGGGTTGAGAAGAGAACAAAAACACAAGAACAATTCAATATGACGAAGGAAAATACATTCTCTAGATTATATAAATAAAAAATTATAAAATCTCTCATCACAATCTCCCTAGAATAAAGAACAACTTCTCTATCATTTTTAAACTCTAATCTGATGTTTAGAAACCCTAAACAATTCCTATTTATATGTCAAACAACGTGGGTGACAATGTTGTAAATACCCAAGCCAAACACAACTTGGATTCGCGTCAAAACAGGAGTCCAGTTCGGCCCAGAAAACCCCGTTGATCGATCGGCACGCCTCTGTCGGTCGACCGGCCAGAGATATGGTTTTCTGCCCTGTAGTCGTATTTTTTTTCGGTCGACCGACGATGGTCAATCGGTCGACCGATAATGCATCTTCGGTCAACTGATGTCAACCCTTCGGTCGACCGACCAGAGCTTGTTCGCAGCTTCCTCATTTTCGCTGTTTTCCTGATTTTGACCGCCCTCGCCACTTTCGACGACTCCGCCCACGCTTCTATTGTCAAAGCTACCATGAGAATTATCTATCTTCAAGCTCCCATGAGGATCGCTAAGCTTCCGAAGCCGAGAGAAAATGCACCCGTATAAATGACTGGTGTAACATTTGATACAAATCATACAATGCACCCAAATCTTGACCACCTACAGTAAAACAACTATATTGTTGTCTCGTCCTGAGGTTGTTGGGATTTATCTGCAATCTAAGAAATTTTCGTCTTTTTCTTTTGTTCTAATAGTTTAGTCATTTGACTTCTTTTAAAAAATGGAAGCAACAACAGGACGTCACAACAACAACAACCTTTATTCCAATTTTTTGGGTCGCTACATGAATCCTGATCTTCATATTTTTCATATTTTCTATTATGGGTCATCTCTGCCGTTAATTATTATCATATCATTCTTAATTGTTTGCAACCAAGATGTTTTAGATCTATCTCTAGTCCTATTTGCTCCATTAACTATAATCTTATCAATTCTCTTGATGGTTGCATTTAATGACCTCCGTTGTAGATGGCCAAACAATCTCCGTCGATCCTCTTATTTTCTTGAGGAGCGACCGCTAATCTCCTACGATGCACTATTTTCTTATCCTGTCTTTTGGAATATGTACACAAGATCATTACAACAATAGGTAAGACATCAGGTTTACTCAAGAATCCTATCTCTGCCTTTGCATATTATGCCTCTGTCAGTACCAAAGGGCGGATTTGATTGCAGATAATAGAATTTTGTTGGATTAGCGGTCTAGATTTCTACGATTTGACTCCTACCTTCTTTCTTTTTCTTTTTGTTTAAGTGAAATGGGAGGGTCCACATTATAATTATTTAATCCATCAACCAGAGTTTACCTTGAAGAGTTTACTCTACAAAAGATAAGCTTCTGAGCATGGAAAGTAAAACTTAAATCAGCACATCAACTTAACATAGCATTAAACTAATAATATTTGTCCATGGATGAGGACTGATGAACTTGGAGGAATACAAATGGAGAAGCTCTTCTGATCCCAAACATCAATTACCCTTAAATCTTAATGAAAGATAAAGAAGCCTTAATAGAGGGAATCGATCTTTTCTCCCTGACTCTCCTTTGTTACCTTTTCCCCCCTTAAAGAACGCTCACAAAATAAAAAACCCTTGTATATGAAATACAGATTATCTTGAAATACCTAAAATAGATATAACACCATTCTGTACATTAAAAACATATCTAAAAGATATGCTGCGATCTTCCTGTCAACCAAACTCCAAAACATCCTGAAATCTATCTAAAAGTTTTGCTTGGATCTTCATGTTCTTTGACTTAGTTTTTAGTGTTTAACCATCATCATCTGGAACATGGAAATAGAACCAGTAAATCTAAACACCTTGTATTGGAATGTCACTGAGAAGAACTAGTCTCCTCAACAAAATATAAATAAAATTGGAAAGTTAGAAACATATTGTGAGTACTAGTACTGGAGATATTTGAATTGACCAGTGTTGTAAAATACAGGTTTAAAGGGTAGATAATCTTTTGTTTGTTGTGGTTATGTGTTTGTTCTTTCTTTTGTTTTGCCATGGTTTAGCTACGACTACTTTTCTTTGTGGGTTTTCTTCCTGTACCCCTTTGAGTTGTTTCATTAAACTCTTAGTCTCTTACTAATGGAAGATGGGCTAATTACTCACTATTTTCATTGAAAAAAAGGTCGAAAGGCTACACAATCTTTATAAAGAAGACATAACGAAACATGAAATGATTAGTAATTAGTGTTTGTTGAAAAATAAACACACACATAAATGCATGTGCATATTCATACATTTGTGCACACAACATGGAAGAGCAGACCGATGATGTTTATTCTAGACTACTAGCACAAATGAACTGAAAAGTAATAGAGTGATATTTGTTTATATTTATAGATTTGTAATCAATATGACTTTGTTCCTATCATCTTTATATTTTATCTTGCAGAGACAATCTCATAACAGGGGTAAAGGGCACCAGATTTGGTATTAACAATCTTATAACAGGATTGGGGGTATAATTCTGATCTTAAGCCCAGATACTGGTTACATGCTGGTGACCACAAACACCCTTAGTTTAAAAAAAAAAAAATCTTAATCTGTTACAGTGTGAATGGCCCAAAAATGTCCATTTATGTTCATAATTTTTTGATCAGTTATATGCTCATACACCTTTAGTGAAAAAGCATTTGGCATTAGGTTCCTGTATTCCCTCTTTTTGCATAATTATTTTAATTATATACAGGTGAAAAAGGTGTGGGCAAAAGTGGGAAGCCTCTTCATTACAAAGGAAGTACATTCCACAGGATTATTCCAAGCTTTATGATTCAGGGAGGTGATTTCACTCTCGGCGATGGAAGAGGAGGAGAGTCTATTTATGGTACAAAATTCGCTGATGAGAACTTTAAAGTCAAACACACTGACCCAGGTAAAGTATGCAAGATATTCACTTCATGTACTCATCAAACTAATTTCTACAGCTACTGATATGTTGTACTGTCAATCTAGGGTTTCTATCAATGGCAAATGCTGGTCCAGATACAAATGGATCGCAGTTCTTCATTACTACTGTAGCTACTAGTTGGTAAGTCATCACTACTTATGAAAATATACATCTTTGTTCAATAATAAGGGTTATTAGATACAAGTTGTTGGTTAACTTAGCAAAATGAGTTATCAAGATATAAAAGTACAAGGTCCACCTGCTTTGGTGTGACAAATGCTGGGGATTATGGAGCACACAAACAAGCACCACACAATAAGGAGCGCAAGCACCAAAACAACATAAGAGTTTTTTACACGGCTCGGACAAACACGTACCTCTATTGTCCCTCATCAGGGAAATCCATTACGTTTACAAACTAATACAACTAATACAAGTTTTGCATGGATGAACTTGAAAATATTCGCACATCTCGCAATACTCAAGGAGTCAGAGAATACCAATCACTCAAGGCTCCAAGAGCCGACCATCACACGCATCACTCAAAGAACCCGTGTACACTTAACACTCAAGAGCCCCAAGAGAATCTTTCCTCTCACTCAAAAGCCGTGAGGAATTTGAGAACACAGATCGCTCAAGAGCTTCAAGTGGCTACTATCACACATCACTCAAAAGAACCTGAGTACATCTAACACTCAAGAGCCCTAAGAGAGTCATCCCTCTCACCAAAGGGGATATCATCACATCACCCTCAATGCACACACTAGATTAGGATGGATAACACAGAACTGTAGATGACCCCGATTGACAACCCTACCCTCAGATATGAGCACCAGCACCTCAGGAACTAGACTATGAAGTTTCATCTTGATCAAATAACATTTGTCGACCGATCAGGGATAGAACTTGCTGCTGGTCTGGAAAAATCAGACTACACACTCCACATCTCTCTTTAGCTTTAGTCTACATCTCTTCTGTTCTATGTTGCAATTTTCAACCAGCCATAACGCGTTTATATAGTCTTCCTATAAGGCAATTTCCAAGGGCAAATCAATGTGCATACTTGCTCTTGGCAATTTCCAAGATCAACCTTCGAACTTTCCAATTCATGCCCCCTTCAAGCTTTCATGGTCAACACCATGCATCATGCTTTGATATTTGGGGAGAACCCAACAACTATAGGATGAGTCTCAATATCGGTCTCTCTCTTAAATTTTTTTAAATAAATATGAGACTATCCAAAATGATTTCATGAATTGTTTTTGTTAGGTTGGATGGAAGGCATGTTGTCTTTGGCAAAGTGATCTCTGGAATGGATGTTGTGTACAAAGTAGAAGCTGAAGGCCGACAAAATGGAACACCTAAAAGCAAGGTGGTAGTTGCAGACAGTGGGGAGCTTCCTCTGTAAAACATCTTATTTGTTGTTGATCTTGTCAGTGGATATTTCCTCATGTGATATCTACGAAAATACCTTTTGATTTTTGGGTGTATCCAGGTACTCATATATTTGCTAAAGGAGAAACATTGTAATAGTCATGAGTTTTTTTCCCCTTTTTTCCAGCTTCAAGGAGAAACATTGCAATAGTAATGAGTATTTTTAGCTTCTAAAATTTGGGAGCATACAGAGATGATGATTTGGTTATAAAAATACATTCCATTTGAATTAATTTTTGTTGAATGTCTTGGCCTCTTATTTTTGAGCTATAAAGCATATCTTTGAAGTAAACATTGAGTTTGGAGAATATAATGTTTTTATTTTAAATGTTATTTTTGCAGTTGATGTTGTAAGTTTTAGCTCATTAGTTCTGTATGCCGTCTGTACCCGTTTTCCCCGCCCTGCTCTCTCTTTAACTACTTATTCAAAATGGAAAGTGGTGGCAAAAAATTTCTATTTCGAGTAACTGGCAAGATACGTGTGGAAAATTATACACCTCATATGAATGATAAATAACATAAATGAAGGAAAATTAGAAGACGGAAAGACTAAGGGGGTGTTTGGTTCAATTTCTAGAAATTATAGGAAATCTTTTCCACCTAAAATATGATTTCTTTGTATTTCTTAAAAAAATTATAAGAAAAGTTTTGAGAAATCAAAAAGTACTAATTTTCTTGTTTTTTGTACTTTGCTTGTTTGGTTCAAAACAAGAAAATAGCTCATAACTTTATAGAAAATAACAAGATTTGGTAGGCTTTTAATTAAATATGGTATGTGTCAGATTTCTGGTGATTTCCTCTCATTTTGAAGAGGAAATTGCTTTTTGTAAAATTTGGTAGGTTTTGATATTTTATAGAAAATATTTCTGTAAATTTTTTATTGAACCAAACATAATTTACAGAAATCTCTGGAAAACTTTTAATTACAAATTTGTCATTGTCAGATATTTTGAGAAAAGTTTTCTCAAAAAGTGTGCAACCGAACAGCCCCTAAGTATGAGCATAAGATATATTTCAAACCAAATGTGAAAGTTTATAAACTCAAAAGGACTCCTCTAAACACCGTAGACTACTATTTTTAAATAATGCATAAAACCGGACATACACCTATACTCGGTTAAAGTACTAACCACATATGTAATATTTTCTAAATTGAATTACCTAGTTTGTCGAATGATTAAATTTTTTTTTTACCCAAAATTTTACTTTAACTTATTTTAAACCCATGTTCTTCCAACATTCCCCATACACCCAATAGATCTCCACCCACTTATTTTCAAACCCAAGTACTTTATTTTAGTGTTTATGTATACAATATCCCTTAAAAAGTTTATGGTTTCCCAAAAACACCCTTCTCTGATCTCAAAACAAACATAGGGAAATAACCAGCTCCATGTTCTCTCTCCACCATCAAGACCACCACTGCCATGGCCACCGATAGACTAGTGGCTTCGCCTTTGAAAATTCGTCCCCCATTCACTCCTCTTATTGCTCCACGTTCGATCCACTAGTTTCTGTTTACTTCATGGTCCATCATATGGTTAAGTGGTGGTTTTTGGCGATTGATTTCTACATTCAGTTAAGAAAATCTTATTATCTTTTGTGCATAACAATTTTGCTTCTATGTATCTAAGTTTTGGTGACAAGGTTGATGCATGAAAGGTATTTGATGAAATGACAAGAGGGATATAGTTATACCCCAATGATGAGCAGTGTGGGGATTGGTTGAGGACGCAATAAAGGTGTTTGATGAACTGTCCAAGAGAAGTTCGGTTTTGTAGAATGCAATGATTGAGGGTTATGTGCAGGTAGAACGTCTGAGAGGGATCGGTAGAATTGTATTCTGATTGTACGTATTGTGTGTCTTTGTGAGAGGTTGATATTGTGGTGATTTAGTTAGAGTTTTATTTTCGATTTCTTGAATAAATGGTTGATGCTATTAACATTTTTAGGGCTTTGCACGCAAAGGTATGCATGGGTTATCATGTACTTATGGTGATGGCTTTATCAATAAAAATACTTTCCTACTGACATGTTCAAAACTTAAACCTAATGCACGATGATTGTATTTTATTTATTATATGGCTCTTTATTCCAAATTTAGCACTTTATGGGCAAAATATATCTCTTTATAGAATAGTACAAGTCCTTATTTATAAAGTATTACTTTTTATTGAGAAAGCATAGCTCTTTATTTGCAAAATAAATAAATAAATAAATAAAAATTAAAAGGGTCAAATATTTGTGAAATTGTTGGATACTATTACAAGAAGATTCTAAATCTATAGGACTTCTTAGCATAAAAAGTATGGAAAGCATAGCTCTTTATTCCAAAATAATCCCTCATAGGGAAAATATAGCTTCTTACCCAATAATATAGCTTCCTACGACCAAAATATAGCTCATTATTTGCAACGTGTAACTTCTTATACAAGTGTATAGTTCTTTATCATCAAAGTATAGTACTTTATTGGTAAAGTCTAGCTCTTTATTGGTTCTAAAAATACAAAAAATAATTCGACACAAGTCATCGTATTCTTTGATCAACGAAAATGGGTTACCATGTATCTAATGTATTGTTTGACCACTTCTTTATATCTAACAGGTTTTCATTATATATACTCTATGTTTGAGCAAAGTGTAACACTTTATGTAAGAATGTAGCATCATATTTGCAAAATGTAGTTACTTAATTATATAGTTGTATAGCTCGTTATAACAAAAATATGGCACTTTACGGGTAAAGTCTAGCTCTTTGTTAGTTCTAGAAATGCAGAAAGTAAATCGAGTCAAGTAACCTTATTCTTTGATCAATGAAAACAGGTTACCATGTTTCTAATGTGTTGTTTGATTAATTTTTTATATCTGACAGATTTTCTTCTATATAAACACTAGCTTGAGCAAAGTGTAACACTTTATGTCAGAATATAGCATTTTATTTGCAAAAAGTAGATCCTTATACAGACTCTCTTTGAAAATATAGAAAACATATATAGTCTATACTTTTTTAATCAATAAAAATGGGTGGTCATGTATATAATGTGTTATTTGATTGGCTATTGCTTACTGATAGGTTGGCTGCTGTTAAGATAAAGTCTAAGCAAAGTTTGGCACTTTCTACCAAAGTGTAGTACCTGATTTGAGAAGTGTAGCTCCTTATACAATTGTATAGCTCTTTATAGCAGAAATCTAGCTCTCTATTGCTAAAGTATAGCTCTTTATCATATATGGGAATACTGAAAATAAATCAAGTAAATAATTTTTTTTATCAATGAAAATGAGTGACCATATCTATAATGTGTTGTTTGTTTAATTCTTTATAACTACTGGTTCGCTCCCGTTTATACAAATTCTGAGAAAAGTCTAGCACTTTATTCCAAAGCGTAGAACCTTACTTGCGAAGTGTAACTCCTCATCCAATTGTATAGCTTTTCATATCCAAAATGTAGCTCTTTATGGCTGAAGTATAGCTCTTTATTGTCACCAAAAATACAGAAAATAAATCGAGTAGTAATTTTTTTTGGTAATAATTAAAAATGGATGACCTTGTTATAATGTGTTGTTCAATTCTTCTTTATAATTGACAGGTCCGTTTTCATTTATACAACGTCTAAGCAAAGTGTAGCAATTTATGCCAAAATGGTAGCACCTTATTTGCAAAGTGTAGGCTAGTAGAAGTGCGGCTCTTTATGGCTAAATTATAGCTCTTTTTTTTTGTCTCCAAAAATGCAGAAAATAAATCAGGTCATTAATTGTTTGATCAATGAAAAAATGATGAATAGCTGCCTCACTGCTCTAACCCTCTCCTCCGTCATCCTCACCTTAATCCCCTCCTCTTCGATCATAGTCAAACTCATCAGGGTGATGACGTTTTAACCTTAGTAGGAGGAGGCCTCGCGGCCACGAGAAGCCGAGCTCTTTGCGGAGGTTTTCAGCGGTCAAGAGTGGTGGTGAGCGGCAAATGAAGGGTAAAGCACATGTCAGAGCTGGAGAACTTCTTCGTCTTCAGCTTCGATCTGTCGGAGCTTGAAGTTGAAGAAGAAAAACAAGTCATTGGGAGTATATATGTGACTGGGATTCTCTCCTCACCAGAGGTTCCTAATATTTCCTCATAAGCCAATCATAGCCTTTCATTTTACATCGACGGCCAAGATCCCAACCATTAACTCAATCTCTCTCTCTCCGGCCCTCAATCTCAATCTCTCGCTCTCCCCCCTCCTCCACCGACGACTCCTCCGCCGCCGCTCCTCCGCGCCGTCGCCGACTCCTCCTCCGCCCAAGCGTCCGCCCGCGACTCCTCTTCCTCCTCATGAGGAAATATAAGGAATCTCCTCATGAGGAGAGAATCACAATCCGTATATATGTTGGGTTTAAGAATGCTTTTGGAGGTTGTCGAGTTTATAAATAAGTAAGGGTAAATCTTTAGGTTAAATGATAAAAAAACCTCTTAGATAAACCAACCAAACGTCCCGTTCAATATATACATTCCATTTGATTCACTCCAACGTCACAAAAACCTAAAACCAGTAATGGATGATAAATTATTTGTATATATGAATATAACAAAAGCAAGGATGTATAGCAGGAAAAGAAAATTTTGCTAGAATCGAAAGCAAACAAAAGCAAATATATCAACAAAGAAAACTGTGACAAAAGGCTATTAATAACTTTGCTGGGGTGATAACGATCTGCCGCATGATTGCGTCACGTGATTTGTGAGATAATTCCATTTACAATGCACGACGCCCTCCCTCTTAACTATTTGACTGGATTAAGACTTTTGGGCCATCTATACACGCCCAAGGTCAGGTTTTATTGGGCCCAGTTCATTTTAGTCACCAGTTTCATGAACGTACTAATATTTGGCGTGCTACACCGTGTTCTCAACTCATTTTCATTATATTTTCCCCTTAATAATAATATGATGGATAAATAAAAGTGAGCAAGTTAAAGATGCAAATATTTTAAAACTAGTGACACCAATTATAAATCAAGGAGAAATCAAAAAGAATAATTTAACTCGTTCGGGTTGCAGTTGTTCCCCATAATGTAAATTTGTCCCTACTTTATCACACGCTTTTGTGGGCCATAGTGCTCCTCCTGCGGGTCCTCCTCAGCCTCCTCTCCTACCCCTCGCCCTAGCCTCTGCTCTTTGATCACCTCCATTATGCCTCCACCATCAAATAGGAAAATTTTACAATAACATATTTGACTTAAGTTGCTAAGTATGATG